GGGAAAATATTTGGGACCCAGAGACAGACCCAGACAAAGAGCTACTGTCATTAATACGTAAATAGCAAAAACCTAATAGAAAAATGGGCAAAGGAAATTTAAAATCAGCTCAGGAAAAATAATATAAATGGATCTTTAAACACAATTACATATATTCGACCTTAGTCATAACATGAGAAATGCAAATTAGATCTGTACTAATATACCATGTTTTAACTTATTATATGGGCCAAAAAGAAAAATATGACAAGACACTCTTCTGTCTTGGGTACGGTGAAAACAGGCATTCTTATACAACTGGTACAACTCACAAAGAAGGTCATTTTGCTATATCAATCAAAAATAAAAATGCATATATATCATTTGTCCTGAGAATTCCATTTGCAGAAATTTCTCTTTAAACATATTTCCTCTTGTGTCAACTGAAATATGTATAAGGATGAAATAAGGATTTTCATTGCAGCATTGTCTGTAATAGCAAAAGACTGGGAGCATCTTAAATGTCTATCAATGGGGGGCTGGTTATATTGTGATATATCCATATAATTGAATAAGATTCAGCCTTTAAAAAGAATGAGGCAACTCATTACATCTACTGACGTTTAATGATCACCAAGATTTATTGTTAAATGAGAAAAGTGTTGGAAGTTTAAAAATGGCTATAGCAGAGTGTGTGTGTCTGTGTGTGTATGTATGTATGTTTTTGTAGCTGTCTTTGGAAAGGGTTTATGGGAGACTGCGGTCAAAATTGGAGGGTAGATATTCTTTTCCTTTTCAAAAGATTTTTATAAAATATAATACTCATTCAAAAAATACATGAAACATAAATATTTGGCTTAACTAATTATTCAAGGCAAATACCTACGTAATTCCCACTCTGGTCTGGAAACAGAACATTGCCACCTCTTTGCCCAGAAGCCTTCCTCATGCCTCTTTCCCTCCTTCCACCCAGCCTCCCCATCAATCATGGAAACCACTATCCTGCCTCTGATAGTAAGCACTTGCTTTTGAGTTTCACCACCTAACCATACATCCCTGTACAATATGGTTTTGTTCTGCTTTAATTTACATAAATTAAAACAATACAAATTATTTTGTGTCTGGATTCTTTCACTCAATATTATGTTCAATTTTTGTATCCATTCTACTATTGATGGACATTTAAGTTATTTCCAGTTTCTTGCTGTTACAAGTAATGCTACAGGGAGCATTTAAATGTGTGTCCCGGTACATTAGCCAAGGATTTCTCTTGGGTATTTTCCTAGAAGTGTTTCCTCATATGGTCTATGTATGCTTTGATAAAGAAGGCTAAAATGTTTTCCAAAGAGATTGTGCCAATTTACACTCCCACCAGCAGCATATGAATTGCTGATATGAGCTAACATAGCAGCAGCTATATGTGCTGAAATGAGTATATGAACTACTGATATGACCCCCTATCCTTGCTAACACTTGTCATTGTTAGACTTCTTAATTTTAGCCATTCTGGTGGGAGTGTAGTGGTATTACATTGTGGTTTAACTTCTGCATTTCCCTGATGACTAAAGAGATTGAGTACCATCTCAGGTGTTATTAGTCATCTGGATTTCTTCCTTTGTTATACACCTATTCAAATAAGGCCTCTGACTACTGGGTAGTCTGCTTTTTCTTATTGTTTTGTTGTTCTTTATACATCCTGGATATAAGTCCTCTGTTGTCTGTTTCTTTTTCCACTCTGTGTCTTGTGATTTTCTTCTCAATGGAAGTAATTATCATAAAAGTCAGGAGAGTAGCTATCTTTGGAAGTAGGGGGATTCTGGAATGCTGACTATGGGTATTTTCTAGACCTATACAGTGAAAAATCACTGAACTGTACATGTCTGTTTTGCACACTTTTCTGGATATATGTTATATTTCACAATAAAAACATTTTTAAAAGATAGGCTGAATCTATGACCCACTAACTCCACCCCTATGCATATAGTCAAGAGAAGGGTGGACACATGTACATGACAAGACATGAACAAAAATGTTCATGGCAGCATTGTTTATAATTCATATTCTATCTCACCAAAAGACCTAAAGTTACTAAAAATTGATAAAAATTTGTTTTGTGGGACACCTTTCGTGAACTTAAAAGGAGAAAATAAGAATATGTTCTCAGCTGCTTTTATCTGCATAAAGAAACTCATGCAGAGAAAACTAACTAACTTGGTTATATGTATTAAAGAGAGATGAACAGATAGGAGAAAGATGGGTAAGAGAATTTAGACTATATAGTTTTGTATATTTAAAATTTTTATATATTTTTTAATTTTTTATTTTTGAGCCATGTGTCTATTACTTTTTAAAAATTAGATTAAAAATTATTACTAATATCCTTAGAGTGATAAGATGCTACATCCATAAAACAAAAATAGTATGCTATTATAAGGGAATATCCTGAAAAGAAACAGAGCTATTTAAAATAAAAATTTATGTATGGTTGTCATCATAACAGATGCCATCTTGGGCCTCTGCAGTTCCTCCTGTCCTTCCAGTGACCCTGCCTAGAGCTGTACTGTGTAGTAAGCCTCTTCTCTGTCACCAAGGGCTTTGTAGTTAATAGATATTGTTTCACGATCGTTAGGTCTGGTGGCCTCTACGCTCTGGTAGTCTTTAAACAATAATGAAGGGCTTCCCTGGCGGCGCAGTGGTTGGGAATCTGCCTGCTATTGCAGGGGACAGGGGTTCAAGTCCTGGTCCAGGAAGATCCCACATGCCACAGAGCAACTAAGCCCGTGTGCCACAACTACTGAGCCGGTGCTCTAGAGCCCATGAGCCACAACTACTGAGCCCGCGTGCCACAACTACTGAAGCCTGCACGCCTAGAGCCCACGCTCCGCAACAAGAGAAGCCCATGCACTACAATGAAGAGTAGCCCCCGCTTGCCGCAACTAGAGAAAACCCACATGCAGCAACAAAGACCCAACACAGCCAAAAATAAATAAAAATAAAATAAATTTATAAACAATAATGAAGACCTTCACTGACATATTCCCAGTGCTCATAAGACCAGTTACCCATTCATAAATCTTGACTTAGGAATGCACTTCCTGTTTCCAAGCACATACCCCCATACCCTAGGTTAACTATGAAATTGTCCCAATCGTCCCTCAGCTGTGCGGAATGCAGCTGCAAATACTTCTGGATCATCGCCCCCTTGATCCCACCCTGTGAGTAAGTTACCCTATAACAATAAACTGATCCATTGATTATATGGAGCTGCCTGCCTCATTTTTCAGTCTCAAGATACCTTCCCAGTTTGGTGGGCACTTTTCATTGCCTCCATCCTCCAACAATATAGAACAGCATTAATGAGAGAGACAGAAGAAAACCTGGGAGGTGAAGTTTAAAAAAAAACTAGAAAGGAAAGCAAAAGAAATGGAAATCAGTAGGACAAAGAATTTAAAATATGGAGGATCAACAACTGAACAAGAATAGTTTTTTGAAAAGCAGAGAAAACGTGTGTATGGGTAGAAAATGACTAGACTGGAAACAGACTTGTAAAATTCTACACAAAAATGATTTCCAACCTAGAATTCTATACCCAGCCAAAAAGATAAATTTAGTGTCAGGGTCAAATAAATATATTTCCATGGTATTTATTACTTTTTTTTACTTCTATAAGTTTATTTATACAATTATGTATATTATATAAATACATTTTTGCATGACATTTTCAGACATGCAAAGCTTCATAAAGTTCACCTGTCATGCATCCATTCTCAGGGACATATTGGAGGATGTGCTCCAAAAAATTAGGGGGTAAACCAAGAAAGAGGAAGACACAGGATCCAGGAAACAGGAAGGAAGGACAGGATTCCCAGGAAAGGAAATCTGACACAAGACAGAGGTAAAAAGGATTTCCTGAGGGATGGCGAACAGAACACACCAAGGTCATAGCTGTGTGTGAAGCTGAGAGAGCAACCAAACCAGCCTTCAGTGAATCAGTAAGGTCCAGGAGAGATTTCTTCAAAGAGAAGACATGATACTCAGAGCTGAGATAGCCCCCCCTCCATTACTAGCTGTGTTAACTTGGGCCAGATAGTTTTTCTTTATGCCCCAGTTCCCCCTTCTATAAAGTGGGAATAACAATGGTACCTACTTCTCCAGGTTGTTAGGAAGATGAGTTAGTATATGTAGTGTGTGTGTAACACTGCTGGGCATACAGTAAACATTATATGAGTGTTTATAATTATTGTCACTATGATCATTACCTAATATGTTTGAATATACAGAGTGGAGATTTAAACAACTGGAAAGAATTTGGAGTTGAATTATTGATATGTATATAGTAAAGCAAAGAAATGATTAAACCAGAAAAAAAATAGTTAATTCCAGGCAAAAGGAAAAGTTGTGCAGAAATAGTAATCACAGCATGGACACTACATGACTTAACTATAAACAGTCACAATAATAAGCCCTGACAGTAGATCTAATAAAAACAGTGATAGCTAGAGGCAAATGTGTATATGAGTGGAGGTGCAAGGAAAAGCTGAATCTCTACCTTCCATAGTGGAAAGTCAATAGATAATGCCCAAAACGAAAAAAAAATAAATCCATTAAAAAGATTAAGAATGCTTGCTTCTAGGGAGTTGGAATCTGGGAGAAACAAAGCAGGGAAGAGCCACTGTTTTAAGAAGACTTCAAAAACTACTTGGCACCTTTTGCCACTTATAAATAAAACTAGAAACTAATTTCAAATTACAAAGTGGCAAAAAATATTCACAAAAATATATAAGCAAGATAAAGGGTTATTAACCTTAATATTCAAAAAGAACCTGTAAACATCCATAAGCTAAAATAAATAAATCAGCAATGGACAGGAAAAGGAAATTCACATAAGGGAAATAAATCCAATAAAAATCCCCTGATTATGTTGCCTGGTTAAAAAAAAAGTCATACAAATTCAAATAATGAGATATTATCTTTCATTCTGGATGAATTCCAGTCCCTGGGCACCTCTTCTTCTTCCTTACCTCACAGGAGTTGTCACACCCCCCTGTAGTCAGGGCCAGGGATGGCCCAGGAGCGCACCGGTTGGCTGGCATCTTCCCCCTGGGCCTAAGCACTTGGGCTCTCTTGCTGACAACTCCACTCTTCCCAGGAACCCGAGGCCAGGTGGGCACCTGTGGACTCAACCAGAGCTGCTGGGGCCTGAAGGAAGATCCTGCAGCCTTCACTATGGGGTCTGGCCCAGGGGCTCCACAGAGACTCCAAGAAACCTGGAAAGACAGTGTCCACTTGGTCAGGCATTCAACATTCACCCCACAAGCGCTTCCTGAGGGCACCGAAGTATAGCTCACGACACTGGATACTGTGGAGTAGACAAAGCCACATCAACACCGATTCAAGTTATTCATTACAATGGAATATGAGCAAGACCATGAGATTTAGACTAAAATTAATAAAAGCTTCATTTCTAGCTCTGCCAACCTTTAGCTATATGAATATGAAAATGTTTCTTCAGATTTTTTTCCCAAAACAAATCAAAACTATTTATTTCAAGGGGTTGTGAAAATTAAATGAGATGATGTTTTTAAGGCACTCAGCACCAGACTGGCCCAGGTAAACATTTAATTCATATTAGCAAGTACTGTTATTACAAGGACTCATGTAATATACAGAAGGAGGTACCTCATTTAATTTGCACAACAATCACGTCATCCATGTGTTGCTGTAGTTATTATTATCTCATTTTATGCATACAGAAACAGAGGTTTGTGATGTTAAATCAAACTCAGTCTACCAGGCTTTCAAGTTCACATTCTCAGTGGTACATCACATGGTACCTTTTATGTGGGAGGCTCAAAATAAACATGGTTCTATTTAACAAATGTTGAAAACATGACCGTAATTTGGAATAAAAATGTTAAGTAAAGTTTCTTAAAACAGAAGAGATATGCAATAAGGAAAATACTAGTAGCCTGGGACTAAAATTTTTAATTACCTCAAAAACATCCAGAGGTGAAAAATGTTTCTCCTGTTGAGGGAACTAGGGAGGGGAGGGTGTCTCTGTGTCCAAACTGAGGTACAATTTCATTACGATCAACTAATACAGGCACTACAGATTTAGTCATTCTTGTTGGGAAAGGGTAAATATCACATAAAATGAAGAGGAACTTAATTAGGACAACAAAAGTAAGAAATGAGATGAAGAGGAAACAACAGAGTAAAAGAAATAAGGAGTAAAATAAAATTAAAGGTATGAACAAATTAAATTTTAAACACATAAAGATGATGTTGTGCCAAAGAAAGAGAATATGCTTTCTTTTCTTACACCCATGGAACTTTTACAAAATTCTATCAAATAACCTGGCCACACAAAAAATCTTGTAGATGTCTGAATGTTGGGAATTGACAGACTACATTCTCTGATTATAGTATAAGATGTTCAACGTCATTAGTCCTTAGGGAAATGTAATCAAAACCAAAAATGTTCTGGGACTTCCCTGGTGGTCAAGTGGTTAAGAATCTGTCTTGCTATGCAGGGGACGCCAGTTTGATCCCTGGTCAGGGAACTAAGATCCCACATGCCACAGGGCAACTAAGCCCGTGCGACACAACTAGAGAACCTGACTGCTGCAACTACAGAGCCCACACACTCTGGAGCCCGCGCACTGCAACGAAGAGCCTGCACGCCACAACAAAAGGTCCTGCATGCCGCAACTAAGACCCGACGCAGCCAAAAAATAAATAAATATTTTTAAAAATCAAAAATGTTCTATTCATTAGGAGACTACTTCGTATACACAAAGATGGCAAAAAAAAAAAGATAGTAACAAGTGTTTGTGAGATGTGAATGAAATTGAGCTCATACATTACTGGTAGAATTGTAAAATGGTGCAGCCACTCTGAAAAACAGGTTGGCAGTTCCTCAAAATGCTACCCATAGAGTTGTCATATGACCCTGCAGTTCCACTCCTAGGTATCTACCAAGAGAAATGAAAACCCATGTCCACTCCAAAACTTGTATACAAATATTCACAGCAGTATTATTCATAGTAGCCCAAAAGCAGAAAGCACTTAAATGTCCATCAACTGATGAACAGATAAACAAAATTTGGTGTGTCCATACGATGGAATATTATTTGGCAATAAAAAAAGAACCAATACACGCTATAACATGAATGAACCTTGAAATCATGATCTTACGTGAAAGAAGCCAGTCACAAAGACCACATATTTTATGATTCCATTTATATGAAATGTCCAGAACAGGCAAATATATAGAGACAGAAAACTGATTAGAAGTTGCCTAGGGCTGGGGGTGGGGGGTGGCATGAATAGTGAATATCTGCTAATGTGTGCAAGGTTTCTTTCTGGGGTGTTGAAAATATTCTAAAATTAGATTGTGGTGATGACTGAACAACTCTGTGAATGTACTAAAAACCACTGAATTGTATACTTTAAATGGGTGAATTTTAAGGTATCGAATGTATATAAATAAGTCTGTTTTATATATCTAAATAAATAAATCTGTTTTAAGAGAAAAGAAACAGGCTTCCCTGGTGGCGCAGTGGTTGAGAGTCCGCCTGCCGATGCAGGGGACACGGGTTCGTGCCCCGGTCCGGGAAGATCCCACATGCCGCAGAGCGGCTTGGGCCCGTGAGCCATGGCCGCTGAGCCTGTGCGTCCGGAGCCTGTGCTCCGCAACGGGAGAGGCCACAACAGTGAGAGGCCCGCGTACCGCAAAAAAAAAAAGAAACACTTTGCTAAAAAACCCAGGATCAAAGTCGGAAATCAATACAGAAGCTAAACAATTTTTACCAGAAGTCATGGAACACGCTAAAGTTGTATACAGAGTGAAATTTATAGATTTAAATGGCTTTATTTTTAATTAAAAATAAATATAACAGGTGCAGATGGTATCACCTGGAGCTTGAGCAGCTGCACGAGGGTATCAAAGACAATGGCCAAGAACAAACTAAGAGGGCAGAAGTCCAGGAATGTATTCCATAGAGCCAGCCAAAAAACTTTAAGGTTAAAAAATACAGCAAAACCGGGCTTCCCTGGTGGCGCAGTGGTTGAGAGTCCGCCTGCCGATGCATGGGACACGGGTTCGTGCCCCGGTCCGGGAAGATCCCACATGCCGCGGAGCGGCTGGGCCCGT